ATTCCTACTCCGCCTTTCGGGGTGGCGAAGACGCCCGACGAAGCCGCCAATATAGTTAAGGATCTGAACACTAAGGATATCGTACTGAAAGCGCAGGTTTTAGCCGGGGGTAGAGCAATGGGACATTTTAAGGATACCGATATCAGCGGCGTTATAAAGTGCGAAACGTGAGTACGATGGAAAAATTAATAAAATACTAAAGAGAAACGATTGTAATCTACGACGAAAAGAAGCGGAATGTCAGATAATCTCTCTTTCTCTATTATAGACCGGAGCAAGTGAAGGAATTGGCGAGCAATATGATCGGCAAGGTGCTTATAACTAAACAAACGGGTGCGGCCGGAAAGATATGTAATTCCGTGATGGTGACGGCACGCATGTTTCCGCGTAAAGAATATTACCTGGCGGTGATGCTGGAAACTACTTTCGATGTACGTACAAACTAAAAATTGTCCTTTCATCAGAGATAGCTTATCATCGTCATTCACTTTTTACAAGGGACCCGTGATAATCGTTTCCAAACAAGGCGGCGTAAACATCGAGGAGATCGCCGCCGCCCATCCCGAAGCCGTGTCGTATATACCGATTGACATAAGCAAAGGCTTAACGTCCGCACAAGCGGACAGCGTCGCCGAGAAGCTCGAACTTACGGGATACAGCAAAGAAATCGCATCGATTGTCGCCTGCAATCTGTACGAATTGTTCGTCGAGAAGGACGCTCTGCTTCTCGAGATCAATCCGTTCGCGGAGGATATTTGTGGTCAATGTAAATAAAAAAAAAAAAAAAAAAAAAAAAAAAAAAAAAAAAAAACATGCACGATTATCTTGTAAACGACAACTGAATAATGCGTTACTTTAATGCTTGCTGCAGATTACGCTCTAGATTGCAAATGTAAATTTGACGATAGCGCCGATTTCCGACAGAAGGAATTGTTTGCATTGAAAGACACGACTCAGATGGATCCGAAGGAGGTCGAAGCGGAAAAATATAATTTAAATTACATAGCTTTAGATGGAAATATCGGCTGTATGGTAAACGGGGCCGGTTTAGCTATGGCCACCATGGACATCATAAAGCTGTACGGCGGTATCCCGGCAAATTTCTTGGATGTCGGAGGTACCGCTACAATCGAGACTGTGACGGAGGGTTTCAAAATATTGTCTTCTGATCCGCATGTAATTATCAGTGTGAAATTAAATCGACGATTAAATAATATGATCGATTGCGTCATCAATGATTGGGATTTTCCAGGTGGAAGCTATTTTAGTAAACATCTTTGGTGGGATAATGAGATGCGACATAATCGCCCAAGGAATAATCGATGCTTTTAAACAATTAAATTTGCAAGTACCTGTAGTTGTGCGATTACAGGTGATTACTTTTAAAAATTATTTTATCTGCAAATGTTTTTTTTCTTTTTTTACTAATCTATTTGTTTCTTTGTAGGGTACTAATGTCGATAAAGCTAAAAAATTGATACTAGATGCTAAGTTAGAAGTAATTTCCGTGGATGAATTTGCTGAAGCAGCCGAGACGGCGGTCAAGTTAGCATCGATGATGAATTTGGCAAAGTCTTTGAATTTAGATATTCATTTCGTTTCTAAATTAGCGGGAAAAACGAAGATCTCCGAGAAAAGCAAGAAGTAAAACTATTTTGGAACAGTTTACAAAATGTTTTATGCTTGTATATGTCTATGAAATATATCTCTCTCTTTTCGTATATAAGAAATACTGTTTAAAAACACTCAAGATGCTCTCAAATTTAAAAAAATGAAAAAAGTATCGGAAGA